AAGAAAGGGAAAAAGCAAGCAGTAATTAGAAGAAAACTGAAGGGCTTATGGATTTATGAAAATGATTTTAATCCCTTTATGACCATTCTTTTAACTATATTTTAAGAAGTTTCTTTTATTAATTGAATAAATTTAAGGGGGCTTATAATAAGATGCATACTTTCTACTTTAATTGTTACTTAAAAGCACTTTACAATGTTAACTTAATTATGGAATCAAAATCTTGGTTTTTCCATTACCCTCTGGTTTTCCTAGCACATCAGCATTTTTTAAATTGTCTGCATACTAAATCAATTAGAAATTTTGATAAGACAGACTCTATGCACCATAAAATATTGTTCTAAATGAGAATGTCAAATGTTTGTTGTTTTAAGATACCCAATTTTTAAAATTAACATTACTGGAGTAATAAATGCTGGCAGGAATAAAACATTGGGTAGTATCAATTTAGCACTCAGAAAAGTAAAATACCTAAAAGCTAGAAAAGTTTTATATGGAGCATTATTATAGTAATATAAGAATGTTTCTTGTAACTTTTAAGATTTGTGCATTGTATTTTGTTATGTTTATCTGAGCTATTTTTATGCAATCTTTTGACACACCAAGCATCATTCCCATTTAAAAGCATTAAAGCATAAAAACATATTTCATTTGCCTTGAAGTTTTTCAATAATACAATAGAGAGGCCAGGATTATTGATTTCTCTTCCCTGGCACCTTATTTTATAAGGATTTGTTTTTCTGTGATAAAAACAGCAGAAGAGCTTCAAAGAGAAGCTCCTTTGTTGTTCATTTCCCCTAAGGTTTCATTTCTATGGCAGGTTGTACTTCCCAAAGATGGCAACAAAAATATCTCTCAGCCTACATTCCTTCTGTACTATGACTTTGCCATTTCCACGTCAAAACACAGTGTATCTAGGGGCGCCTGGGTGGCTCAGTCAGTTGAGCATCTGCCTTTGGCTCAGGTCATGATCTCAGGATCCTGGGATCGAGTCCCGCATCAGGCTCCCTGCTCAGCGGGGAATCTGCTTCTCCCTCTCCCTCTGCCTGCTGCTCCCCGCTCATGCTCTCTATCTCTCTCTCAAATAAATAAATAAATCTTAAAAAAAAAGAACCCCACAGTGTGTCTATTTTTGTACCCCATTTGAGTGAGGTAGGCCCTCTGACCACTGAAACCAATAGAATATGGCAGGAGCAACATTGGGCCAGTTGTTGGCTGTATCCCGGCCCTCTCCTGGCAGTTCTTGCTTCCTGTGTCCTAGAAGACAGTTGCCATATAGAAAGTGCTACTACTTTGAGACCACCCTACGATAAGAAGCCAAGCCACATGGAGAGAGAAAAGAAGTCCAAGAAGTAAGAAATGAAGAAGCCATCCTAGATGACCAGTCCAGTCGAGCCTCCAGAGGACTCCAACCCCAGCCACTATCTGATCGCAAATACATGAGAAACTCGAGTTAAAAACTGCCCAGGTGAGCCCGGGGCCACCTACAGAACCATGACAGAACAATAACTTGTTGTACCAACTAAGTTTTGGGGTAGCTTGATGCACAGCAATAGATCACTGGAACAATTATCTATTGCTCTCTCATAACAAAAATTTTTCCTCCAGGGTCTGAAATATAGGACCCCAATCTTGCCTTTCTGCTTTCTCTCCTTTCTCTATTTTCTCCTTACTTTTCCTCTGTGGGAGGTTATGTATGTAACACGTATTCAGTTACTCTATTTGGGAAATGTAGCAACGTGTGAAAAAAAAATTTGGAGTTAGCATTCTACACAGTATCTGCAACACTGATTTCGGGAATAATAATAACTCTCTGCTTTAAAAATAATTCCTACATTTAACGGAGCACTTGCGTGTGCTAGATGTTCTTTTGGGCACCTTGAACACATAAATATATTCAATACTCATGACAGTCTTGTGAAGCAGTCTTCTCATTTTGGCAGATAAAGAAATTCTTGAGGCAAAGTAACCCAGACAAAGTCACAAAATTTGTTGCTCATGGAGCCAAGATTTTAGAATATCTCTTTACAATTCTAACTCCAGGCTCTGAACCACACTTCACTATACTGCCTTCAAATCTTTATATTTTACAATGAAGTTCTTAAATGATTTTTTCAGATGGTATATCCCTAAATAAGATGCTGACATTTTTTGTTTAGAGCAACATTATGTTGTGTCAGCTTAAATATAACTTGTCCATGTAATTTTTTTATTTTACATATTTATCTGACTTTACCTTCTTCGCAACAGCCTTAAGAAAGCTATTTCATTTGGATAAAAAGTTCATTTTATACCTGATCAAGTATGAGGACTAGTGTCTGAGTGGGGGAGAAAGGGGGAAAACACTGGTTTTCACGTACATTCCTTTGTTTGATTCTCTTTACACCTCCATGAGGAAAGCATTATTATGGCACCTATTTCATAGACTGGAAAACTATACTTCAGAAAATTAAAGGGATCTGCCAAGAGCACTTGGAAAGTAATCTGATCCTAAGATCATACTTTTTCCACCTGTACCACCCCTATGGCCCAGAAGTACTTAGTTAATCCATTACTACCTTTAGGACATTGATTTACATATAGATCATGTTGTTAACAATGGTCTTTTCGGGCGCCTGGGTGGCTCAGTTGGTTAAGCGACTGCCTTCGGCTCAGGTCATGATCCTGGAGTCCCGGGATCGAGTCCCGCATCATCGGGCTTCCTGCTCAGCGGGGAGTCTGCTTCTCCCTCTGACCCTCCCCCCTCTCATGCTCTCTCTCTCTCTATCTCATTCTCTCTGTCAAATAAATAAATAAATCTTTAAAAAAAAAAAATTGTCTTTTCTAATTTGATTCCCAATATTGCCCCTGATTCCACACTCAGTTCAGCCTAAGCCCCCTCTAAACACTCTCTTTGTCTTAGACCCCAGCAGATTAAGGATGCTAGAGCATTTTTATAATGTTATCTCTGAGTCTGATGAACCAAGAAATTGCCAGATTACTTTGTGCAACATTACAATAGGTAATGCTGAAATGTTATACACCAAAACCAGAATTTGCAAAGATCATAAATTGATACCAAACTACTCTAGGATTCACAATCTGTAAAAATAAAAGTTTGGTGCTATGGGTCGTACTGTTCTCAATGGAAATATTAATTGATTCCTGTACATTTTCTCTTTGTGAAAGCAGATTATCTTGATCTTTTTTTGAACAAGATTCACATTACCTTCTAATTTTGCTATTTCTATTTTCAGCTCTTACTTTGAGTTTTCATGTAAATTTGAGTCCCACATTTATAAGAAATGTACAATGAAACCGAGAATCTGTTCTGGAACATAATCAATTGCTTTTGTAGCATTGTTCACATGCTACCCTTTTCAGCAGGAAATGGTAAGAAATATGACTCAAAATTTCATAAACTCTATTACTGCAAAAAGAAGAAAAAGAAAAAAAGAGAGAGAAAAGAAACTTAAACCAAAACCAAAGTTAAAATTGAAAGGAAAGCACATGAGCTTTCCATAAATGGTAACTGTTCTTATCTTTTTTTAAATATTTCAAGACTGTAGCAAAGTATTACAATGTAATTTGGATGACTAATATTTTAAATAATTGATTTGGTGTTAGGTCAAGTAATTATTTAAAAGACATCGTCAGAAAATTAAAAAGATTCCTCTGATCTAACATAAAAAAATCTTATTTTTGAGTGGGAAAAGGATTGTAAGTGCTTAGGAAATAAAAGTTCCTGTGAAGTTTAAATGGAGTTTCTGTATTCCCAAGGGACCCATAATTCTTCCATATGCCCAAATCCTGTTCCTCAACACTGATAAAGAGGGAAAAGAGAGCACTTTTATTTTCAGTCTCAGTTTCCCAGTAAGCTGCCATTTCAACTCGAGCTCATGTAAATATAACTAAGGTTAGCAAAAGTTTCCAGAAACTCTCATTGGAACACACTCAACTAGATTTGGTCAAGGGAGTCCAAAATTACAAAGTCATCAGTAATAACTGGAAAAATAGCACTGACTCTTATTTTTGTAGTGTTTTATGAAACAAGAAAATGGAAACAAGGTTGTCTGAAAATTGTCAGTGTTACTGTATTCAAGTCTACAGGAGAACATCTATTCAAAAGACCAGTTGTTAAGCGTCTGCCTTGAGCTCAGGTCATGATCCCAGAGTGCTGGGATCGAGCCCCGCATCGGGCTCCCTGCTTGGCCGGAAGCCTGCTTCTCCCTCTCCCACTCCCCCTGCTTGTGTTCCCTCTCTCGCTGTGTCTCTCACTGTTGGATAAATAAAATCTTAAAAAAAAAAAAAAAAAGATACCAGAAGCTATGGTCATTCAGCTAAACAAGTGAGCTGCTTTATCACTGGCCAGATTGAAGATACAGCAATACATCATTTAAAAACTGATTTGGGGCCCCTGGGTGGCTCAGTCGGTTAAGCGTTCGACTCTCGATTTCAGCTCAGGTCATGATCTCAGGGTCCTTGGATCCAGCGGTGGAGAGTCTGGCTCCCCACTCAGCTGGGAGTCTGCTTGAGATTCTTTCTCTCCTTCTCCTGGCCCTACCCCCACTCACACGCTAGGTCATGCTCTCTCCCTCTCTCTAAAATAAATTTAAAAATCTTTAAATAAATAAACAAATAAATAAAAACTGATGGTAAAATAATAGCAGCAACTTATATAATGTCTATCCTCCTTCCACCTGACCCCTGTAAGCCACTCAAACTAATATCTTTCAAATGACACCCAGTATTTCTTGAAGAAAATTTTTAGATACTGACAGGCACTTGCAGATCTCAGCAGGAGACATTTGGTTTCTGGTTTCCATTAGATAACATCTTAGCCTGTGATCACAGACCACAGTTTTGCAGACTTCCACCCAATTCAGTCATGAGTGCTGAAAAGAGAATGTGTAAATGTCTGTTCTCTCTCCTCATTAAGGCATACGCCTAGCTGACCTCTACTAGAGAATATTTTACTCCTCACTCAATTAAAATCCCAGAAATTGTTTCATTCATATTACCTGCCTCCGGACTTTTTGCAGGATGTGGTCAGGGCAGTTGATTGTGGATCTGAAGAGGGATTTTAGCTTTGCCTTGTGTTTTCTCAGTAACTACAGTTAATAAAGTCCTCACTTGTCTTTTATACCAGCAGAGTAATAAAAACTGCGTGTTCCCACCTGCATCTAAGCCCAGGGATCAACAGTAAATTCCACCCAATGATTGAATGGTCCTTCATGTAATTACCATGACATCAATTTGATCTTATCTTGTTTCAACCCTTAGATCATTTTTTGTTTTGAGCCATTTTCAGGCGGTGGTGACTGCAAGGTCAGCCTATGGAAAGAGAGTACACTCATTTTAATTTTATCAAGACTTACACACAACATCCTGAAAGTTGACACTTTCCTATAAACAAGACTCTATGAGCATTACATTTAATTAGCTAAGTACCTGATGTTTACTTAAAACAGGAGAGGAACTGTAAATTTCAGATAATAGATACAGAACATTACCAGACTTACATTATTCTAGTGGGAAACAGAAAAATAAAACACATACCTATTTAGATTTTTCTAACCCATTACTATGTATTTGGATTTGTGATAAGGATGCATAGAGAAAGTATGAGATGGTTCTGAGGACTGATTAGTTCTCAATATTGTGCCTTTCTTCCTTTTTTTAATTTCACATTGGTAAAGCTCAGTTTCCTCCTAAACAACAACAACAGAATACATGTTACAACTTGCCAGCTATTGGATACTTAACTCCAATATTCCCAATCCATGTCTCTCTCTAAAACTACCCAGCTCCTCAGGATTCAGCTCTGGCTTTTATCGAGAGATTGTGATCCTTCCAAGGTTCCTCTCTCCATCTACTCTGCTCAGTGCCATTTCTGTAGGAATTGGTTATGAAATACACTAGCAAGGACCTCCCCAGGGGAGGGCCTAGAAGATCTGTACGATACAAAAAGCAACTCTTGCTTCACATAAAGACACAGACCAAAGAAAACAAAGTTGTTCTGTGATTTATTATCTGTGATAAGTTGATTTGTTTCAGTTCTTACACCTTTCAGATTTCCATTATCTCCTTCCAGTGGTTTCTCTTAGGATCCACTCTATCCATTCACCTTTTTCTGGCGACAATTGTTGTCACCGTTATTCATGAATTTCTATCATTTACATCTCGAAGGATTCACAGTACATTTTCAAAGTAGCAGACTTCCTGTGGAAATCTTGAGCCTTTATAGCTTCAGGGGAAGGAAGTCTCTCTAGCCTCCTGCATGGCCTCCTTTCCCTCCATTCAGACATTTTGCTCTATTCTCTCCCTTTTCCTTTGTGCCTTCTTTTGATTCTTCTTTCTTTTTTATCTGCGTGAGTAAGTAGATATGATGCTTCTTGTGTTCTCTTATTAAATTATTTTCATTTGGTTTATGATTTAGTAACAGATTTCATTTTTATTTCGTGTTTCTGTATAAGAATGAGGAATATTAGGGATTCATATGAAAGTTCTTATAGTATTTTTAAAGTTTACAGTGCTTTTGTATTTTTTTTTTAAACATGATGTGGCAAAATAAATAAATTAGACAGAGGAGTTGTCGAAACAGTCCCTTCTGCCTGTGACCTCTCCTTCTCCCCAGACTCCCGATTTCCCTATTCAGGAGTGACATTTGAATCACTACATTCTGCACCTGAAACCAGTACTACGTTATATGTTAACTAACTAGAATTAAATAAAAGCTTGAAACAAAAAAAAAAGAAAGGAGTGATATTTTTAGTTTTTATGTTTCTGAATTTATCCTATGTATATATAAGTAAATTATACATAATTCCCATTCCCCATCCAAATTCTCTTTAACATGATAAACAGAACGCAAAAGTTGGAGGAAACTGAATTTGTGCTCACCATTTAGAGGCATTTCTTCCTGTTAATACAGTATAAACTATGGTTCTCCATACTTTCAAAAATGAGCATATATTACTTTTTTTGGAGCATATATTACTTTTAATTATAACTGGGGAAATGAATTTTTAGTTAATGGAGAAATAACAATCTTCAATTACAACCAGGTAAAGTACCGGTAGCGAAAATATGTTTTTAAGTCTCATTGTTTTATGTAGTTGCTTTCCTGTATTATTAACAGTTCTGTCCCATACCCGGCCATTCTCCTCTTGGATAACTGGTAGGGCTGGTGGGTGAGAGAGTCAAACCACTCCTCATTCATGTATAGTTACTCCTCAGATGCTAAAATTTGGAGTGCCCCTTTCCAAGAAGGTAGACTGGCTGAAGACCCTGGGATGACAGGCCCACTAGTCACTTTTCCTAGGCAAGGTCCTGAGAGCATATCATGCTATGGAGAGTGTGTCAGGAACATCTTTGCCCAGCAGTATGACACAGTGAATTTCATACATGCTAGGTTAAATGAATGAATTTTTCCTAATGAAGTTTCATCATCTACACACTGAATTTTTTTTATTTTTATTTTTTTTTAGATTTTATTTTATTTTTTTATTTGAGAGTGAGAGAGCGAGCACAAGACGGGGGTAGGTCAGAGGGAGAGGCAGACTCCCTGCCAAGCAGGGAGCCCGATGCGGGACTCGATCCCGGGACTCTGGGATCATGACCTGAGCCGAAGGCAGCCGCTTAACCCACTGAGCCACCCAGGCACCCCAACACACTGAATATTTTTTAAATAACCACCTTTGTAAATGTTTCATATGCTTAATTGATTTGTTTTATTAAACATAATTTGATCTTTCTAATTGAGTATGATTATCACAAACATTATGCTATAATCAGAACAGCTGAGGCATGTTAAACGCTTGCTTTCTCGAGTAGTTTATTCTTCAGTAATTTTAATAATACATGACAAGATTTTAAATTTTCAAGCAATCCAAGAGTATGTATAATGAAAAATAAGTCTTCCTTCTACCCCAAAATCTTCCCTCCCATTCCCAAAGTTAATCCATTTTTAACAATTTCTTAATGTTTTCCGACATTTTCTACATATATAGACACATTTTCTGAGGTTTTACTGTGTCAGGGAACAAGAATTCCTGTCCTTCAAAGATTCTTTTAGCTGGACTAAGAACCAAATTAACATGAGACAGATTAACGGGAGAAAATCAAATTAAATAGGCATACATACAGGGAATCCACATAGACATGGAAACTCCAAAGACAGGCAAAATGAAGTATATATGTCATTCTGAACTAAGGAAAAGGAGATTAAAGGGGTCTGGGCGATAGTGGTCTGGGACTTCAGAGAGAGGGGCCTGGGTCTTGAGAGGAGAGGAATGCACTTTACGGGGTGATAAGAAGAGCAGATATTTAGTAATTAGATGTTTGCCCTACCATATAGATGGGCCACTCAGGTAAAATTTGTCTCTGTGAATAACCCTTATTCTGGGAAAGACTCCCAATTTAGATTCTTCTATGTGGTTAAGGGAGGGACAAAGTTTCTCTTGAGCCCACAGGGTCTCAAGTGTCTTTAGCTCAAAATAATCCCCATGCCAAAGTGGCACATTCTACAGGGGGCCTATACTTGAACCCCTTCAACTATATAGAAATATACACATTGTTTAGTACCCTGACTTATTTCTATTTTTTTAAAGTTTCTTTACTTAACTTATTTATTTTAAGTAATCTCTACACCCAATGTGGGGCTCAAACTCATAACCCTAAAGATCATGAGTCACATGCTCTTCGGACAGAGCCAGCCAGGAACCCCTTTCTTCTTTTTAAACTTAATGATGTATTTTGGTGGTTTTTTTCCACATCCAGATATGCAGATCTAACCATACTTTTTAAATAGCACAAAGTATTATGGACTATAAATTATTTAACCAGCCCTCTGTTAATGATCATTTGCATCATTTCCAGTTTTTAACTATTACAAACAATGCTATAAATATCATCCTTGTTCTGGTTGCATGTACAATTATAGTTCTAGAATACATTTTTAGAAGTGCAATTGGATCAAAGAATATGAGTGTTTTAAACTTGTATAGAGGTTGCTCAAGTGCTCTTCACCGTTCCTCAAAGCCAATGTTATAAAATATGTTAGTTTTTATGAAATAGATGAAAAATAATCTTATTTTCATTTGCATCTATGTAATTTTGAGCAGGGTTAAACGTCATTTCATAAATTACAGTTTATTTATGGGTTATTTTTCTATGAAAACTGCCTGTTCAAAAATCTTTCTCAAGTTGCTAATTCCATCTTTAATTTTAAGCTTGAGTTTTGACTCCTTTATGATATTTTTTAAAGATTTTATTTATTTATTTGACACAGAGAGAGAGAGAGTGAGAGAGAGAGAGCACAAGCAGGGGGAGCAGCAGGCAGAGGGAGAGGGAGAAGCAGGCTCCTGGCTGCTCAGGGAGCCCGATGCGGGGCTCGATCCCAAGACCCCGGGATCATGACCTGAGCCGAAGGCAGCCACTTAACCGACTGAGCCACCCAGGCGCCCCGATGATATTTTTATCATACAATAGTTTATGTAGGCAAAGATATCTATCTTAAACATTTAGACTTGTTGGTTTTATGTAATGCCAAGATACTAAAAAGAAGCCTTCGTTTTTTACTCTAGAATGTGTACTGCATTATTTATTTTCAGTTTAGATCTTTAATTCACCTATAACTTTTTTGGGACTAAAGAGTGAAGTAGAAATCCAGCTTCTTTTTAAATCTAAATGCCAAATCAGTTGTTCTAATACCATGTAGGAAATAACCAATCCTTTATTTTTCTGGACTAATTTGAAATGCTACTGAATTCTCAAATATTTGGGGTCTAGTTTTGAGTTCTCTATTGTGACTCATATCAATAAAAATTGTTCTGTAAATGATAATAGATGTCTTAAATTTGTTAAGGTAATTGAGTAGTAGATCTCATTATTTAGTGACTATCTACCAAGTGTACAGAGTACATTAACAACCAAAGAGAAACTAGATGTAAGTCATATCCTTAAGTTGCTAACAATCTGCTTGCTATAAATTGAGGTATTGGGATTTTCCCTCAACATCCTCATCGACTTGTCATGAAGCTACTAAGACAGAATCTTGATTTCCTAACCTCCATTCGACTCTTTGATGCTATGGGGCTACATTTCTTGCCG